AAGGAAGGTAAAATCTGTGAGTTAAAAACACTTTTGTAGAAGATAAGAACTTGTCAGCTTTGGAAGTGGCTAGAGTATCAATAATTTATTCTGGGAATTTGTAGGTGAAAATAAAAATTATATACCAAGAATTTTTATTCTACTCTTTTCTACAGAAAAACTTTTGTGGACAATAAAGCAGCAGACACACCAAGGTCTTTCTATACAACTGCAACTAATAAATTCAGAAGACTTGAGAAAGAATATCTTTTACAACACCTAATGAATTAGAGTCAAGAGATGTAAGAAAAGTAATAGTCTTCCTTCCTCCTTCCCTTCCCTTCCCTTCCCTTCCCTTCCCTTCCCTTCCCTTCCCTCCCTTCCCCTCCCCTCTTCTTCTTTTTTCTTTCCTTTCCCTTCCTTCCCTTCCTTTCTTCCTTCTTCCTTCCCAGCATCCTCCCCCTTCCCTCCCTTCCTCCTTCCCTTCCATCTCCCCTCCCTTTCTGATGCCATTCTCCTTTAATCCCTTCCACCAGTGTTTGTTTACTAGCTGTTATCAGTTCACAGATTAGTCAAATGGAAACCATTGCATTTCCTGGCACAAGCAAACCTCTGGCGGCCTACCTACAAATTTATAGGAATTATGGAGAAATGAGAAAAATGTTAAATTTTACTACAAAAATCTTGGCCAAAACCAAAATGAGACAAATTTTATAGAACAAATGGCTCAATTTCATCAACAGACAAATTACAAAGTGGGGGAGACCAACAGATTAAACAAAATTTAAAGGGTACATCAAGGAAATGCAATGTGAATCTTGTTTGGTTTTTTTATTGTAAACAGGTTATAAGACAATGGGTGGGGGGTATGACTATGGTTTTGATAAGGAACCAAAGCTCTTGGGAAGAGTTTCATCTGTGTTATAGACCCTGCAGACTGCTTGACCTTGGCTGAGAACATCACGACTGGGGAGAGATGTAATGCTGTCAGTCCACAGCCAAAATGATCTTTAAAAGTCCCTTTAAAAGCCACTGACTTTCAACTTCTGTTCTGACCTAACGCCCTCTTAACTATTAAGTAAGCTGTGAGAGTCATAGACAGGGCAAAAGCAGCAGTGGTTTACCAGGTTCTGAGGAGAGGGGCAAAGGAAATTATTTCATTAGTATTAAGAATTTTAGTTTTGGGGCTGGAGAGATGGCTCAGCGGTTAAGAACACTGACTGTTCTTGCAGAAGACCCGGGTTTGACTCCCAGCACCCACATGGCAGCTAACAACTGTCCATAACTCCAGTTCCAGGGGATCTGACAGCCTCTTCTGATCTCCACAGGCACTGCATGACACAGATTTTAAAAAAAAAGAATTTTACTTTTGACAGATGCAAAGGTTCAGAGGATCTGTCTTACAACAGTGCAAATAAACTTAACATTATTAAACTGTACACTTAAAAAATGGTTAATAGGGTTAATTTTTTTAATTTTTTACCATGATAAAAAAATTAGCAAAATGAACCTTCTTTTATATGATTTCTCCCAAACATTCCCTCACTCATCACTGAATTATAAATAATTATCAGTTCTGAAAATGTAAATGAGGGGCTGGAGAGATAGGTCAGCGGTTAAGAGCACTGGCTGCTCTTGCAGAGGACCTGGGTTCAGTTCCCAACACCCACATAATAACTAACAACCATCCATTAACTCCAGTTCCAGGGTATTTCTTCTGACCTCCAAGGGCATTGCATGACACAGGTGCACTTACACACATGCAGGCAATACACTCATACACATAAAATTTAAAACTTAAATATTTAAAAAATGCAAATGTGCAAACTAAAACTAAAACAAAAATCAATAATAGAATTGTAAAAACACAGTTTAGCTACATTCTTATGAAGTACTTTCATATTTTGGCCCAATTAATTCTACTTTTAGAAACCTATTTTGAAGAAATAATCTAGAATATAGATTCAACTGAAAAGATGCCTTCCTAAGTGCTATACAAGCAGTACATAATCATTCCATTTTATTTGACATTTATATCACATATATACCTATGTGCATACAATCAGGCTTCCTTTAAAAAATCATAATATTTTTTATTTTGGTTAGAATGCTTTTTGGTTTCTTGCTATAAAGATTGAGCTGGCTTTGGCCTGCAAGTCCTCCTGCTTCACACTCTCAAGTGTGAACACTTGACTCTAGAGTACATTTTAAAGATGTTATGAATATATCTTAATATTTATGTGTATGGTATAAATAGCATTCTTTACAAAAAGACTGATACACATGTATTACCATTTAGTACATAAGGATTTCACTATCTATAAAAAGACAAAGTTATAAAGAAAAATACAAATATGAGGCAAGGGAAAACTGCTTACTGTGTACAAAATTATCTTAAAATAGAACTCTACACAACTCCTAAAATATGGGCTAAGAAAAAAATGGTCAAAATGTGCACAGTAGTTTAAGTGCTACCTAAAATTAATCCACCCTTCAGATATTTGATCAATATATTGCATCTAGCCTATGGAAATCTGACAGGTATGCTGTAACTGCTGGGCCAAACTGTCAATGCCTTGACAATTAAATATTAAGGTAGGGGGAAGCAAAGTACAAAATTGCATATTGTATCAAGTGGGATTTGTACTTATCTCTAGGGGTTAAGATTCTAAGTTTCTTCCCTTTCTTATAGTTATATTTTCTTAACCACAAATAGTAAAAATGTATTAATTTATAAAATAAAAAAAGGTAAGCCCCCACTAAAATTAGATATAGTAAATTATTACACGAATGTACAGTTTAGGTAGGGTTATAGATAACTTTTATTCTGTTATACCCAATTTACACCTATTATCACTTTTACAGCTTCACTATTATATAGGAAGTATAGATTATTAATGTAAGTAAAACACAGAAATATCAAAATTAAAAAAAGAAAGCTATGCTGTTGTTTCACAGACAAGTAAAACATGTATTTTACACCTTACCTCTTAGTTTCTAACTTTTCAGAGGCTTCTTAAAGGTAAAAAGTTTTAAGTAAAAACAAACAGTATTGGTAATACGTGCTATTGATTAGCTTAATTTAGTTATTTCACAATGCATACATACTTCGAAACATGCTGTACACCATAAATGTTTTGTCAGCTTAAAATTTTTTAATTTTATTTTATAGTATGTATATGTGTGTGTGTGAGAGAGGGGGGGGGAGAGGGAGAAATGTCGGGGAGAACATGTGTAGACATCAAAGGAGAACTTTCAGAAGCAAGTTCTATCTTGTTTTTGAGGTAAGGTCTTTCTTGCTATTTCTGCTGAGCTGCATACTACAGGCTAGCTGGCCCACAAGCTGAAGACCAGGTCTTGATCACACAGAGATTCTCCGGCCTCTGCCTCCTGAGTGCTGGGATTAAAAGTGTGTGCCACTATGCCTGGCTTTTTTTTTTTTAAGACATATTTTTTTTTAAAGACATATTTAGTTTTAATCATGTGTATGTGTGTGTGGGTATGTGCACTTGAGTCCAGGTACATGTGGAGGCTGGTGGCTTCAGACCAGTTATAGGCAGTTGTGAGTCATCTGATATGGGAGCAGGGAAGCAAACTCTAGTCCTCTGGAAGAACAGAATGTGCTCCTACCCACTGAAGCCATTTCTCTAGCCCTATATTACCACTTTAAATGAGCCTTCTAAAAAAAGTTAATAGTCACCTGGTGGTTTTAAAAATCATTTTTACCAGAAGGACAAGGAAGGAAACTACATCTTTTACAGCACTTTGCCATTTCTTATTTTAACAGGACTGGTGGCAGACTATTGATAAAATAGTAACATTTCAGCCACTAGATGGCAGGTAAATAAAAATAAACAGCTAAAACACAACAGGCTGGGCATGCAGATGCACTTTTAGGCACTAAGGGAAAAGATAAAGGGTACTAAGAGCCAAACTCTTCCAATTCTACAACTGCCAAGAAGTATACTCAAATCTATAGCAGAAGTGGCCAGGGTTAGGCTTCAAAACAGTCCACTTTTTGCTTCTGACAATACCCTAAGAAAGCTGAGATTCAAGAATGGATTTAGAGAAGAAACACATAATAAATCCTATTTCTTTTGCTTTGTATTTTTGGGCTGCCAGGGCTCAAACATGAGGCCTAGGGCACACAGGCAAGTCATCTATTGAGTTACATCCCAGCCCTTAATAGAATTGGGGGGGGGGGTATGCAGAGATACAGGGAAGCTACCTTAATGCCTTACTTAACACCTTATCTCACAAATATTGTTCCCCATTTTCTGAACCTTTGACTTGGCACAGAACACTGCAAACTTCAACTCAAAAATTAAAGCTCCCCTCCAAGAATGTCCATCAAAACTGTAGTATCATGAAGACATAACTGGGTTACAGTGAGTTAATGAAAGAATATGCTAATAAAACTCATCGTTATAGGATCATCTATATGTTAGTTATAAAGCAAAGCCAATTTGGCACTCTGACTCTAATACAGGGATAGCAAGGTGGGGTGGGGAGACAATATCCTTTGTTGTTGTTGAAATTTCAGTTTTTTCTTCAATTTTTGAGACAGGGTCTCCCTGTAGCCACAACTGGCCTGGAACTCCACTATACAGACCAGAATAGCCTTGATTTTACAGAGATCCACCTGTCTCTGCCTCCTGAGTGCTGAGACTGAAGGCATGCACTCCCACACTCAGCTAGATACTTTTTTTAAGTTTAATTTTCATTTATGTAGACATGTGTGTCTGTGTATATATGCCTCTTGGTGGGGGGGGGGCACATCAGAAGAGGGTGTCAGAGCCCCTGGGGCTGGAGTTATAGGCAGCTATCAGCCACATGACATGGATGCTGGGAACCAAACTCTGGTCGTGTGGAAGAGCAGCAAGTGCTCCTAACCACTGAGCAACCTTTCCAGTCCCAAGTATCAAATTCTTGAAGTTATAAAATGTTAAAATGAAGACATATGTATTAAGGTGCTATAATCTAATGATATTAGTCATTAACATAATCTAATCCCTCTAGACTCCAATTCCAAATTCAACCAACAACTTTCTTACTATAAACTGTCCTCTCAAATACATTAATGCAAGTTTTTCAAGCTTTCCTCTGCAACATAGTTAAAAGGTTCACACAGACTTCCAACATGAACAGAAACTGGCTTAGGGCAATGCTTTTGAACTAGGACACATCTCACATATTCAAACCATTCTTCAAGGAGAAATGACTGACTTCTGGAGTGATGACAATATTCTATTTCTTTACCCTATTAGATGGTTAGAAAGATATTAGCTTTAAAATTGTTCTTAAGCAGGGCATGGTGGTGCACGTCTTTAAGCCCAGCAGAGGTAGGTAGATCTCTGTGAGTTCAAGGCCAGCCTGGTCTACATAGTGAGTTCCAGCCCAGCTGGAGCTTCGGGGAGACTCTGTCTCAAGAAGACCAAAGAAAAAACAAAAAAACAAAAAAAAGAAAAAGGAAATTGTTCTTAAAACTTGTACATGGCTTTAACATAGTTTTCTATGTTACCATAAGTTAATAAACAATGTTGAAAGAATCAATCTAGGTGTCTAGTAACTGATGAATGGAAAAGAGAATCTGCTATGTATATACAATGGAGCTTTATTTAGCCACAGATGATGAAATAATGTTGTCCACAAGAAAATATCTGGAACTGACAATCATGTTAAGCAATCTAAGAGATTCAAAAAGACAAACTTTGCTATGTTTTCCTTCATCTGTGGAATCTAGATTTAAAGCAAACGCAGACATGAAATTGTCAACGATGGTTAAGAATTTCTTCACCTGAATAAGCCATGTGGTCATACTGTGTCTGAGGCCAAAAAAAAAAAAGACATGAAAGTAAAAGTAGGTCTCTATCAAGGAAGGGGAAAAGGAACAGCATAAGGGGGACAAGAAATGGGAAGAGGGCAAACAGGATTAAAGGATTATTTTATTTATGTATGTGTGAAATGATATAATGAAGCCCATTATCTTCTATAATTAATATACAAAAATAGCAACAATTATTTATTATTTAAAAAAACAAATAAGGGGCTGGAAAGATGGCTCAGCAGTTAAGAGCACTGCACTGGCTGCTCCTGCAGAGGACCCGGGTTTGATTCCCAGCACCTACATGGCAGCTAACAACCATCCATTAACTCCAGTTCCAGGGGAATGTGACGCCCTCTTCTGATCTCCGTGGGCACTGCATGATAAGGGTGCACTTACACACATGCAGGCCAAGTACATACATACATAATATAAAAATATCATACACACAATATAAAAATAATAAAATAAAATAAAATAAAGAAACAAACATATTTATTCAGCTTAAAGTTCTTATGGCTAGTTCTGCCTTTTTCCAACTATCAGAAACAACAAATTTTTTAAAGACATGAGATCCATATGGAGAGTCAATATCTTTAAAATTTAGTACTAGATATTTAAAGAAGTGGTATGCACTAAATTGTGCCCTGGGCCTAACGTAAACTATATTTTGCAAATAAAAATGTGAGAAAATATTTTTAGTTATTCAAAATCATCTATTCAAAAGAACCACCACCAAAAAAAAACATAAATGTCTTCAAAGACCACAGAGTATCTTGTCAGTGATTTCTCCTTATATATGTGATTTACATTTTAAATACCCAATTATCCCCAGAGCTCCTCACATTAAACAATAATACTTTTACAGTTTTTTGCAAGTTTCTCAGATTAAAAGTTTCTAGCAGACATTACCACTTTTTCTTAATATTTTTATTTATTATTTTTATTTTATGTGTATGAGTGTATTGCCTGCATGTAAGTGCAGCCATATAGTGTGCAATGCCCAAGGTGGTCAGAAGGTGTCAGATCCCTTGGAACTAGAGTTAGAACAGTTGTTAGCCACCATGTGGGAGCTGGGAATCGAACCATTGTCCTCTCTGCAGGAGCAGCCAGTGCTCTTAACTTCTGGGCCATCTCCCCAGCCCAGACATTACCACTTTTTTCTCTACTTCTTTCAATTTCACTGCCCCAGAAATGAAAACTCTTAGTAATCACTATCATACACAAACATAACTTCTACTTTGAAAAAGAAATGCAAGTCTTTTTACTCCTATCTTTTCTCATTTGCAATATAGTATTAAAAGGCCCTGGTAAAATAAAACTTGTGTCTAGCGTGGAAATGAGATCTGACAAGAGGAAAGAGTAACAATACTCAACTATGAGAATTTTTGCTTTTCTTATTAACAAATAAGCCACTCAAGAATTTAACTTGCAATTCGATTTTTAAATTATTTTAATTAAGTTTTTAAACCTTTAAAATGTTTTAAAGTCACCAATTTTAAAGTTGCCAGATGGTGCTCTCCTTTAATCCCAGCACTCATGAGGCAGAAGCAGGCTGATCTCTGAGATGGAGGCCGGCCTACTCTACAAATGGAATTCCAGGCCTGCTGGGGCTACAAGGGAGACCCTGAATTCAAAACAAAAAACAAAACAAACAACAACAAAAACTTTAAACTTAACTTAGATGGAATAGCGCATAAATTTTGAATATAGCACTCAATTTTTACATACATATACACTCATATAACTACCACCCAAATGAAGATATACACCTAAAGGTAGACTTGAAAGTTCTATCAGAAACGGGGGGCGGGGGGGGGCTCAGAGAGGAAATAAGCTGCTTCTCTAACCTGAAGAGTTTTTATTGAGTTCATTTTCACTCTGCTTTCATACCTCAAATTCATCTTGAGCATTTTGAACATTGCACCATCTGGCAACAGGTTCAGGAACCATTTCCCAATCCTCACAAACTTGTTTAAGGATATTGACAAATGTTGACTTTCCTGCAGCTGTGGTAAAAAGAAAAGCAAAATTAAGGAAGGAAATTTGTCAAGAGAGCAAACCAGAACAGTCATCAGCCTTTGTAAGATTTATCATATATGTGTAAAACAATTTCTTATAAATACTCTTCATTTTTATAAATTACAACTAAAAGGGGATTCTTAGACTATTTTGTTGAGCACAGCTGTCTGTTATTATTTTTAGTTTACCAAAGGAAAGGAACAGAGGAATTTAAAATCTGGTGAAAAAAAAATTTTAATGCTATGACAGGGGCAAAAAAAAAAAATCTTACTTCTAGACTGGCTTTCCTTAGAAAGAAAACTTTCTGTAAAGTGGTTAAGGCCATTCTTTTATGTAACTAATTGTGTGAATTTGACCAAGTCCCTGAATCTCTCTGAACTTGTTTCTTCATAATACAAGGAAAGTAATAAGGCTGTTCTCATGGAAACTATTGCAATAACCAGTAAACTGTCACTATAGTGACAGTCATTCCAGCCTACTTTATTTTCTTTTACTTTAATTTGTTATTTATTTTATTATGTATATGAGTGTTTTGCCTACATGTATGCACCATGTGCATGCAATGACTACAGAGACCAGAAGAGGGTATCAGATCACCTGGAACTGGAGTTACAGAGGGTTGTTAGCTGCCATGTGAGTGCTTGGAACCAAACCTGGGTCCTCTGCAAGAGCAGCCAGTGCTTTTAGCTGCTTAGCCATCTCTCCAGTCTCCAAGTCTATTGTATTTTCAAAAACTTGCTTTGTACTAGCTCTACTATCTCAGTCTAAAGAGTTCAGTGAGAGTGGCTCATACCTGTAAAGCCAGCACTCTGCAGGCTTATGCAAAAGGACCCTGAGTTCCAGGTCAGCTTGGGCTATACACAGTAAGACCCTGTCTCAAAAAAACAATAAATAGTAGAGTGTAGTGACACACACTTGTAACCCCAGTACTCAGGGGGCTGAGGCAAGAGGATTGCTATGAGTTCTAGCTCAGCCTAGGCTTCAAGTGCCAAACCAGCCTGGCTATAGAGCAAGACCATATCCCCACAAAACAAAACAATTTTTAAAAAGAGGCTAGGGACCCAAGAACAAACAGGAAAAAAAGACACTAACAATAATAATAAATTAAAAAAAAATACAAGGAGTAACCATAAAATCAATGTGAGGACACATTCAATGCTTAAGAGCTATGATTATTAATATCCGATCCTAATAAACACTACAACTAAGAGAAATTATAAGAACAGTTTTTGCCAAGCGCTTCCTACAAGCAATAGCCATGTTTTCTGCCTCACTTTGATGGTTCTGTGCTAACAAACCCTTTTAAAAAAAGAAAAAGATATACTTTACTTTTCCCTGATGATTTACTAGTTTCTGAGAGAGCTAGGGTGGATAAAAGGAAAATAGCTTATGTGTAATCAGGACATATTACCGTCACTATTTTAAAGGTGGTGAGTGCCTGGACCTAGTATCTAAGCCAATGTAGCAATACTAATGACCACCACACCCTTTCTATCTGAAGTCACCAAATGTGGTTCTATCAAGTATGGCTGGTCAGTATTTTGTTCTTTCTCACCTCTCACTCCACACACACCAAACAAACACATAACTTTGATATATTTACAAAGCTTCTTCCTTAGAAATGGATTTAAGGGGGCAAAAACCATATTCAAACCTCCAAATTATAGAAGAGGTAAAAAATAGAAGTGGTTTAAAGACTCATACAAGAGTAAAAGTACAAACAAAATGACACAGAAGGAACAGTTGAATAACAAAACACAGAAGTTATGCTGGGCCTTTAATCCCAGCACTCCGGAGGCAGAGGCAGGCGGATCTCTGTGAGTTCCAGACCAGCTGGGGCTACAGGGAGACCCTGTCTCAAAAAAAAAATAAAGAACAACCACAACAAAATATTATAATGCATGAAAAAAAATTTAAGTATGAACTGAGTAGCTATTTAGTTGTGGGAAAAACACTGGTGACCAAATTTCTGGGTGGGAAGATAAGCTTACAACTGTAATGCATTTAGAAGAATTATTTTAAATGATCACTATTGACTAGGCAAGACAGAAAAGAGAACATGATGTTAAGAAAGGAGAACACAGAAGCATCTCCAAGCAGCTGAGTGCAAAAGCACTTAAGGTTAACACATTAAGCTTTCTTCTGACATTGCTTACAACCAAAAGAGCTCACAGGGTAATGCTTAAAACTTAACACTTAATGTTTACTTCAGGCAGAGTAACAGTAGTTTGACTTTCCCAAATGGACAATATCTAGTTCCTTCCTCGACTTTTTGGAAAGGCAAGAGCTAAAAATAAGCTAATTGATAAGCTAATATTCTAGGAAGGTGAAATAGAATACTAAGCAAGAATACTCATGTTAACACTTCTAAAAGTCACAGAGGGTGCTGGAGAGATGGCTCAGCAGTTAACAGCACTGGCTAAAGCCCGAGGTGGTGGTACACACCTTTAATCCTAGCACTCAAGAGGCTGAGGCAGTGGATCTCTGTGTGATCAGGGGCAGCCTGGTCTAGCCTACATGGAGAGTTCCAGGCCAGCTGCGGCTACAGGAAAACCCTGTCTCAAAAAATGAATGAATGAATGAATGAATGAATGAATGAATAGAAAAAAACACCAACAAAAAAAAAAAAAAAAAAGAGTACTGACTGCTCTTGTAGAAGACCCAGGTTCCATTCCCAGCACTCACATGGTAGCTAACAAATGTCCCTAACTCCAGTTCCAGGGAATTCAATGCCCTCTTCTGACCTCTAAAGGCACTGAATGAAATGTTTGAAATTACATGCATGCAGGCATAACACTAATACACACAAAAATAAATAAATAAAACCGGGCGTGGTGGCACATGCCTGTAGTCTCAGCACTTGGGAGGCAGAGGCAGGCGGATCTCTGTGAGTTCAAGGCCAGCCTGGTCTACATAGTGAGTTCCAGGATAGCTGGGGCTACAGGAGACCCTGCTTAAAAAAGACAAAAAAATAAATAAAATAATAGAAAAAAAAATTTTTTTTAAGTCATCTGAAGACCAGGCATGTGGCCACATACCTTTAATCCCAGCACTGTAGAGGCAGAGGCTGGTGAAGGCAAATGGATCTCTGTGAGTTCAAGACCAGCCTAGTCTATATAACAGACTTCAGGTCATCCAGGTCTACATAGAGAGACCCTGTCTCAAAACAAACAACAACAAAGTCACGGTAACTAACAGATTCCTAATGCTAAGCAAGCATCATGAAACTAATAATCATCTGAACATACTGAAAGGAGATGAAGACACCATACATCTAAAATGATGGACTATGAGAGAAACAACTTACATGAGTAGAAAACTAAAAATGACCCAGATAAACTTTGAATTTTAGGAGGGAAGAAGAACTGCAAACAAATCTCCACAGATTTAACAACGTGTATAATTAACAGCTTATTTGCATCTGGCAAATAAGGTGAAGGATACAGTACAAGAGCAGAAATAAACAGCAACTGATAAAGCCTCAAGAAAGGTAATAAATGGTGAGAACAGCATGCCCTCTAAATGTCAATTTCTGTCAAATAACCTAGGCCTCGTGTGGCCAGGTCTTCAGATTTCCCTAAGTCAAGGATCTAGATGCTTAAGGAAAATCTCAATATTTTAAAATGCTAGTGACTATTTTTTCCCCAATATTGTGCAAATGCCAACCATCAGCGTGGGGCTCCTTCAAGTTTAATAGGGAGGTCAGCGAGCAATTGTAAGCATGGATAGATAACACATTTGTATTTGTATGTAGAAAGAACTGGACACAGTTAAACTGGAAATGAAATTATTGTCAAGTGCTGGGAAGATTCAAGATGCACAGGGGAAAATAGATCTCTCCAGGTATGCTGCTACCTAGATTTGAATGAAAGGGGATTAATTCATTGTGGTACTGATTCAAGAGGTTATCCACTGAAATTTACTTTGAATAGGCTTTATTAACTAACTTCTTCTGTCATTACCATGGTCATTTTTATATGAAGACTCATCTAGTAAACATGAAATCTCAAATTATACTGATAAGAAATGAGGGTCTCTTCACTGGCCAGTGTCTTAAGTCTGGGACAATAAAATAAGCCCTCTCCACCCAAGGGTTTCAGTTGTAGTCTCTTGAATGCTTAGAACATCTGTTTGCCTCACCTTTTTAAAGACAGAGTGCTTTGAATGCAGTAAAAATTAAAATAGCTGTTGTACGCATGAATAGTCAGTTCTGAATCTGCAGTCTGCCAAATAAGTATATCAAAACAGGAAACATAAGTAGATTTCCTGTGGTAGGAAATGTAAAAAACTGGAAATTCAAGTTCACTTGTTAAATGACATGGTGTTGTTTACCTGTAGCATCACAGTTGTAGACAGAAACACTAAGGGTCTTTGAACCATAACCCAGTGTTAAGTGGACACGGAACAGGGAGTAAAGGATTTCTCACTATTAAAATTATTAGTAATTTCTTTCTTTGTGTTCAAATGCCTATATAGTCCTAATAATTTCTAAAAAATCCAGGTGCGGTGGTACATGACTTTAATCCCAGCATTTGGGAGGCAGAGGCAGGAAATCTCTGTGAGTTCCAGTCCAGCCTGGTCTACACATTGAGTTCCAGACCAGTCAGAGCTACAAAGTGAGACCATGTCTGAAAAATAAAATAAATGTTGAAAATGCCAACAACCCAAATGTGGGCAAATGGAGAACAGATGTAGTATTCAATGGAATACTACTCAACAATTAGAAAGTACTACAGAAATAACAATCATGAGTGAATCTTAAAAGTATTTTGCTAGGGGATGACTGGAGAGATGGTTCGGCGGTTAGCACTGGTGGCTAACCTCTTCTGCCACTTCGGGCATGGCACAAAGTGGGTGCACTTACATACATGTACGGAAACACATAATATCAATAAATTTTTAAAGCATTCTGTAAATAAAGTAAGACATGGAACACTAGATAGTCTCTGGTTACGGTTATGACGTTGTGGCAAAGCGAAACGCAGGGATTTTAAAAAGGCATGCCGGGGCTTGCCAGGGGAGAGGAAGGGAGAAGGAAAAGAGAAGCCAAAGCACAAAGGGAACTGGGAGGAGGGTAACACAAATATTCTCCATCTTGCTAGTCGGCAACTATGAAACCTCACGAAGAGCGCGCCTAGAACAGGGTGGGCTTTGCAGACACTACATCTGAAGAAAGGCAGCATCCCCCACGTCCCCCGCAAGGCCTTCCTCCCGGGTACCAACAAAGGGTGGAGGGCGAAGGCTCCTCCCAGGGCGGGCTGGCATCGGGCCGCGGAGAGGGGCAGCCGCGGCCCAGCGGCCGTCGGGGTCTGCTCACCGATGTTGCCCTCGATGGAGATTTTCTTGACGCGGGTGCCCTCGGAGCCGGCGGCTGGAGAGAAGCAGACTCTCTTGGGCGGGGTGGCCATGTCTGTGTGGCGGCAGGGAAGCCAGCAGGTGCGCGACGCCGACAGCTCTGGCTCCGGAGGCTTTGCGGGGGCAGGATCGCGCCGGCGGGCCCCGGAATTTGACTTTGGCGCGCGCAAACAGCTGTGCGCGGGGCGGGCCTGGTACGCGGCCCCGCCCTGGCCGCCGACTCCCCCACAGGCCCTGCCTATGAGTCTCGGGCACGCCGGGACAGCAGCGAGTCCGAAGGAGCCAGGCCGGGGCGGGGCGGGGCGGGACCTGCGTGCCGGGAGCCGGGCGAAGAGGGGCGAGGCGAGATGGGGCGGGGCGAGCTCCCTCACGCGCAGCCCGGGGGCGGAGCCAAGACCTCTACAGCCTCTCCCAGGGAAGAAAGTATGAGGTAGAAATCAGACGGGCTGGGTGTGGTGGCACACGCCTAGAGTCCCAGCCTTCGGGAGGCAGAGCAGGAGGATCTGTGAGTTCGAGGTCAGCCTGCTCTACATAGCGAGTTCCAGTACAGCAGTGACTGCCGGGGAGACCGGCCTCAAAATAGACCAAAAAAGAAAAATCAAACGGAAGACCCGTCTGCAGAGAGCCAGTCTCCGGAAGGGCGCAGCCCGGAGCTGAGTGCCCGCAACTGTTCTAAGCATTTTCTCCTTCACTAACTAGGGTACAGTGCGGGTCGCGTCCTCAGTGCGAAGTGATAGGCAGGAACTGAGTAGCTGCTGACTTGGGACCGGAAATGAAACAATCACTGGAAAGCGCGAGAGGACGTAGGGCCCCTGCTCTCCAGTCTGTATGCCTAGCTTAGCATTGCATGTCCATTACCTAACATGACGAATTTTTGAATGCCTACGTATGTAATGTACATTGTATGTGTCCCACATGTACTCTGCTGGAAGACTAATGGACAAATACTATGTAGAAACTCCAGCGTTCATTTTTAGTCAGGGTAAATACCTAGTAAAATAGCTGAAAGTAAGATTCAAATTGTCTACATATACTAAGGGTCCTGCTGTTTTTTGTTTTTTTTAATGTGTGTGTATGGCCTGCATGTAGGTAAGCGCACCCGTGTCGTGCAATGCCCGCAGATGTCAGAAGAGGCTGTCAGATCCCCTGGGACTGGAGTTACGGACAGTTGTTAACTGCCATGTGGGTTCTGGATTCGAACTCATGTCTTCTGCAAAAACAGCCAATGTTCTTAACCGCTGAGCCATCTCTCCAGCCCCCTGCTGTTCTTTTGTTTTGTTTTATCTTGTGACAAGCATCACACCTGAAGCACACGTCCTAAAAGTGGAGCTAGGAGGGGAAAAATAACTACATTCTGAGAAATAAAGAGCAGAAATTAAGGGGCTGGAGAAATGGCTGAATGGTTAAGAGCACTGGCTGCTCTTGTAGGGGAACCTGTTTGGGCTCCCAGCACCCACACTGTGATTAACCACCAAGCAGAACTCCTGTCCCAAGGGATCCGACGCCCTCTTCACAGGCAAAACACTAACTGAAAGTAAATCTTTAAAAATCATTTAAAGCAGAAATAAAAAGGTGAATCTATTGGGGAACTCGTTTGCAAACAGCAAAACAAGAAAAAAAAATCCTAACGTATTTTTTGTTGTGTTGTTTTATGAATATAGACTATTGGTTTTACTTATTCCCACAGGAATTAGCATTTCCATTTGAAATGGAAATGGCCTGAATAATTAGGCCTTATTTAGTTGTCATAAGGAGGTGGGAGAAAGGCCTTGGGAAGGCTACTGGGAATCACATTCCATACCCAGGTATGTAAGAAAAATCCATACAAGTATTGGCAGGCACTCGGGAGAAAGTGGTAACAGAAGAAAAATGAAATAGAAGTATCAGATAAATATCTTAAAGAAGCTTAGAGTTGAAGCGAAATCCACAAGTAGAGTTTTAAAAAAGACCCCAGTGAATAGATGCATACTGAAAGACACTGGGGGCCACAAATCAGGCTCTATAGGCCATAATATATACACACACACATATATGTATATGTGTATGTGTATATATATGTGTGTGTGTATGAGTTCATTAAATTGGGCTGGGGACAGTGGGGAGAGGGAGAAAGGGGAGTGGATCTAAATGCCATCAAGCTATTAATGTATGAAAATTGCAAAAATTCACTAAAAAAAAAAAAATTGGGAAGGAAAGGGTTCATTTGGCTTACAGACCACAGTCCATCACCAAGGGAAGCAAAAACAGGAATTGAGGGTAAGAACCTACAGGTAAGAACTAAGTACTGACCTGGGAAAAGTGCTGCTTACTGGCTTGCTCCTCTGGCCTGTGCTCAGCCTGCTCTTATGCAACCTAGGACCACCTGCCCAGGGATGGCACCACCCATAGTGGGCTAGGCCCTCCTAAATCAATAATCAAGAAAATGCCTCACGGACATGTCCACAGGCCATGTGATAGAGGAAAATCCCCCAATTAGGATTCTCTCTTCCTAGGTGTGTCACACTGACAACTAAAGCTAGGGGCTGGGTTAAATGCAACTAAAGTGTTTGACAACTAAAGCTGGGTGCTGGGTTAAACGCAAGTGCCACCACACCCAGATGTTAATTATCTTGTTATAATCATTCCACCATATATACATATAAGAACGCACCACATTTTAACCTATTTTCATCAAATTAAAATTTTAACACAAAAGTTATGAGGAAGAGTATTAGTTTCACTTTGTTATTGAACTAAAGTTCCCAGAAAAAAAGGCACATCTGTGCTAAATATTCAAGACACAATCTAATGCAGCAATGGCCGTGCTAATAGTAAAGCTCCCAACAGTTGGAGGCCTTGAGCTTGGATTTTCAGGTTGAAAATATTTTGGTAGTGGCCATAGTTGTCTAAAACCACTGCTAGTACACCTTCACACTACTCAAGAGGGTGTTTTTTTCTTCCATGTGGACACACATGCATGCCAATGAGTGCACATTTGAGTACACAAGACCAAAGGTCCTCAGGAGATGTCTGTCATTTTAAAAAAAATTATTTTTATGTGTATGAGTGTATTGTCTTCATATATGTAAGTGCACCTGTGTTGTGTAATGCCTGCTGGAGGTCAGAAGAGGGTGTTGGATCCCCTGGAAATGGAGTAATGGACAGTTGTTAGCTGCCATGTGGGTGCTGGGAACCAAACCTAGGTCCTCTGCAAGAGTAGCCAGTGCTTTTAAATGCTGAGCCATCTCTCTAGCTCCCTCCTTAAAAATTTCTTTTGGACAGGATCACTCACTGGTACCTGGGGCTTGCAGATTAGGCTAGTCTGGCTGGCCACTGAGCCCTAATAATCTACCTGTCTCTGCCTTCCAGCACTGGGATCCTAAGTGTTTGCCATTATGTGCACCTGTTAAATAGGTGCTGGGGATCGAACTCAAGTCTTTATGATTGTATGGCAAGGTCTTTCCTGACTGAGCCATCTCTCTACCCCTACCTCCACCCCCATGTCCTCAAGAAGATGCTCTGAAAGCTAAGTGTAGTAGCATATGCCTGTAATTTGGGTACTTGGGAGATGAGGCAGGAGGCAGTTCAAGGCCAGTCTAGGCTACACAGAGGCTAGTCTAGGCAGAGGCAGTTCAAGGCTAGTCTAGACTCTCTTCCAAAATGTGTGTGTTTGTTTGAAGAGTGCTTTTCTCTGGTCTCTTGTCATCCATACACTAGGAAATGGGAAGTTCTATTTCTGAAGTATATTTTTACTTTAGAGGAACTTATAATTTAAAACTTTAATATATAAGAATAGTCATTATTAAAGAACTTCAAAGTATTAGTTATTATTAGAGATTTATTATTAGGAATATTTATGATTGTTATGATTGTGTTTTGTGTTTTATGATTATAATATTTTAGTTTTAAGATTTTGATTTTGCTTTTACAAGATTTTATTAGATTTTATTACTCAACTATTATTCATTTATATTCACGTATATATAAAATTTTGTTGATTATTCATTTAGAACTTTTATTTAGGATTTTTATGAGCTCTTGGATTTGAGGTTTTGTCTATTATTACTGATTTGAGATTCTGTTTAATTGTGTCTGTTATTAACCTGACTAGATGTTGTTTCTTACAAATTTTTTAGATTTTATTTATTATTAATCTTTTTTCAGGGTATTTTTATTTAATGGCCATATGATTAGAAGCATTTTATTACTCATCTATTCATTAGTTTTTGTTGATTATTAACTTAAGACTTTTTAGTTAAGACTTCTGTGTGCTTTTAGAATTAAGGCTTTGTTGTTGTCAATTTGGGATTCGGTTTAATTTTTAATTTGAGTCAATTTTGTTTTTGA